ACTAGGGGATTGCTCTTATAGCTTTAAAAACAGTGTAGAGTGGAAGCCTGCTGCTAGTAGATTGCTCTTATAGCTTTAAAAACAGTGTAGAGTGGAAGCCTGCTGCTAGGGGATTGCTCTTATAGCTTTAATATCTTTTATACATAGCTATTCTTTATTCAAATGTATTATTTTTGGCTAGTAAAGGTGGTCACAAGGACCTTGAGGTTATTAGAGGGCTGCATGTAGATTAGTTTAGGTTCCTCATCATTGCCATAAGCAGTCCCAAACCTGCATTGCTCAATGATCACTTTTAGTACATATTGTACCATTACATACTGTAATATGTAATAGTACATATTGAGAAAACAAGTGCTCAATTCTATAGTGTCTTTCACTAATAACTTAATTTTTTTTGCTTATAAACAATTTACTAAATTACAGTTTTCCCTACAAGTTGTTATAATCTATTCCAAACTTTAAAAAAATATTTGTATCTGCATAAAAGTGAAATAAATTTACAAAAATATCATGTATTAATTGTTTATACTGTATGTCTTAACATTATTTTGTTCGGTGTGCATGAAAACAAAAATGTAAACATCAGTATATAAGAGATTAAGAATAAAGAAATTGAAATAAGCTTCATTTCGTATCCTATTTCTAAATGCTCCACAGAAATGTCTTATTCCGATGCTCCTAGTCAACAAGGTAAATTGAGCAAGCAAGTGTAATACATATCTCTTACATCCAGCATACAGTGCCCTCCCTTTGCTTGATCACTGAAATGCTTGGTTAAAATGAGGTAGAGCTGAGTTACCCATATCAAGTGACACTGGGGGTGAGAATGTTGTTCCTGACATGGGAGATAAAATTGATTCCGGTGAGTAGGTAGGAAAGAGATTCGAGGTACCTGGCACTGTGCCAAGAAAACAGCTGCTTGGGAGAAGATGAGGAATACCTGAGTTGAAAGTAGGTGGAAGAGAGAAGTATTGGGACATGCATGTTGGCAGCACATTATGGCTAACTTCTCCTTCCTGACCCATGTGGATAGGGTTAATTCCACTGGGAAGAAAAGAACTTTCTACAGGTGGTGCAGCAAAGCATGGTTCTTGCTTTACTGCTTCCAACTGATGAGAAATACCAGAAGATAAGCTGGCATCCATAGAGAGACCCGTTGTGCAGGAACTTATGAAACTTGGACCATACGATGTGCTTGTTACTGAATGAGGACCTTCAAGTGACACATCAGAACCCTGTTCAATTTTCACTGTCACTTCTTTAGGGGGTTCTATTGTAATGGGGGATTTCCCTCCATGACTCTTCTTCACGTGCCGTACAAGATGATCTTTCCGTCCAAACCTTTGGGGACATATGTGACAGACAAAATTTCTAATGCCTGTATGAACAACAAGGTGGCGCTTGACATCTTTTCGAGTAAAGAAGGATCTCTCACACTGTTCACACTTGAATTTTCTTTCACTAGGACCTTTCAAAGCTCGGGTTCCTGAGTGAACTTTAAGGTGATACATGATTTCTTCTTTTCTCTGGAATTCCCTGCCACATAACTGACAAGACAAGTCTCCAGCTTCTGCTGCATGGAGAGCTTGATGTTTGCGATACGATAAAGTTGATGTATATTTCTTGTTGCAGAGTCTGCAGTTGTGTACAACCTTGTTTGGGTTATGAACCTGAAGGTGGTTCTTCAAGTGGTCTTTACGATGGAAGCAACGTTCACAAATTGAGCACTTAAACTGCCGCTCCCCTGAATGGATGAGCATGTGTCGCATCATCTTAAACTTTGAGGAGAAACTCCTCCCACAACCAGGTTCAGAACAACTGAATGTTTTTTCAGATTCTTGTTTGCCATATTCCTGAGGTATCTCAAATACATCACTCCCAGTAGATGAAACTTCAGTATTGAAGACAATTCCCTGCTCTCCAACATAGTCTGACATCACCAGAATATAAACAACAGGTAGTCACAGCTATTTAAGTAAGCCATTAAACATCACCAGTGTTTTTTTGTGGAGGCCCATCTACTCAGGGGGCTAATATTGTATAATACACAATATTAAACACAAGTTCCCTCCAAAAACAAGTTATGTTTCTTTCACATCTGAAAAACAAGAAAGAATAATTTTAATTAGTGTTTTTTCCTTAGATACAACCAAGTTGTTATAAAATTTTAGAACTGTATCTTTGGAACACTAACTTCAAATAAAAAATCTATCATGGAAAGTGCTGCTAATTTGAAAAAGCTTAAAATTCTTAAGTACAGTGAAACCTCGATTTTATGTGCCCCAGTATAATGCAGTCAATGTATGGCTCCCAATTTTCTATCTACAGGCTGTCTGCAGATAACGACTGACCAACCTATGAGCAGATGTCTGATGAAGAGATTGTTCATAACATAATAATGCAAAAAGAAACAACACCACAGCCAGAATTTACCAAGAAGACGACAATGACGTCTTACCAACCTCACTTCCCAAGGTCACTGAAGCAATAGAACACCTTGAAACTAGTTACCTGATGATGACAAAACCTTGTTGAAACGTTATACATTTGCTGTTATGTTAAACTTATATTAAAGTTTTTCTTCATTATTCATTTTAGCCATCTCCAAGCATTTACTAATTTTCGATAGCTTTAAAGCCAATATGTTGACAGCATACACGTCCTGCAGCTAAGATACATACTAGACTTTGCTTGTAGCCAGAAGTCAGCCAGAATGAGACAATAAAAGTCATTAGACGATTTTGAAAATAATAAACAATGGATTGTTGAGAAACTTTACATGCTATTACAGTTATCATGTTTTTTATCGTCCGTATGTTTTACGTGCCTGATTTCTCTTCCTTAACTTAAGGTAGGCCTATGAAATGTTAGAATTTTTTCAGCATTTTATTTTCACACACCACGTGTTCATTCGTGCAAAACAATAAATGTTACTGCATTTAACCATGTCAACAGTGTAATAAATAAACACAATCATATGATAATTTTCTCATACTATAGTTTATGGCTGGGATATAAGCTTCAGATACCCAGTATAAGAACACATCTCATGTACCGAATAACAATGCAAGGGATATGGAAAATAACATATCAATATAACTCGACTCCACATTTAACACGATTGCATTTCGTGGACCCCAACTATTGTGTTATAACGGGGTTCCACTTTATTTCAATTTAGAGGGCATGCTTATTTTTGTGAAATGAATACATCACATACCTGGATCAAGCTCATTAGCTCTGTAAAAACTATTGCTTGCTTACACTTTAGCTAAATAGTGCAGCTAATATTATATTTAATGGAATCAGGCTCTCTGGCTCCAGGCAAAAATGTAACCATGAATGACTCTAGAAAAGGTAATATATGACAATGTAATGAGATAAGGTTCTCTTAATGAAGGATTGGTTGGTATTTTATGGCACAAAGCAATGGGGTTATTTACACGAACAACCTGTATAAACATAAGAATAAAAAGTAAAACTATAAAAAGGTAAAAAGAAGAAGTTAAAAGCTAAACAATGTCCAAAAATCAGAAAAAGAATCTCAAATAGATCTAAAAAGGCCCATGGCCTGTATAAAGTTAAAAAACACAATCAAATTGGACAGTGTCACCATTGCCAATGACACCGTCCAACATCAGGGGTAAAACCGTAGAAAGAACATGTCTAAAATGGTGCTGCCACTCACAGTCATAACAATGGCATGACAGTAAAACATGAGCTATTGTGACTTGAGTGTCACAAAGGCCACACATTGGTGGATCAGACGCAGATAAAAGAAAACGATGAATTAAAAATTTTGACCAATGAGTAGCCTAGCCAAGACAATTCCTCTCTCCAATCCTTACAAAAACTAGGTGGCCAAAAAACAACAGTAGATTTAATCTGGAAGAGCTTGCTATGAAGATGCTCTCCCCAAATTGACTGCCATCTGGTGCAAAGTCATGCCCTGATCACAGGACCATAGACCATAAATGGAATAGGCAGGGCTGTGACAGTGAGATCATTCTTTCAAATAATGACATGGCCAGGTATCCACAAAAACTGGATAGAAATGGAAGAGAGAAAAATATTCATTTCTGAATGAGAACAGGGTAAGAACTTACATTAAGTGAGTCCAGGACCAATAGAGAGCTAAGAGAGTTGGTGTAAATAGTACAGTTAATGTACTGCTTAGCTTCTATGTGATCGAGAGCAATAGAAATGGCATACAAATCGGCAGTGGATACAGAAGCTGTAGAGGGGATCCTGTGAGCAACCACCGAGCCACAACAAACCATGGCAGAGCCCACAGAGTCACCTGATTTCAAACCATCCATAAAAACGGGAGCAGGAAAATGGTTCGAAATACGGTCGGCAAAGAGAAAATGGTACTTTCAATCAGGAGTATCTGCCTTCCTCAGATGGTCACAGGTGAGAATGGTAATGAGCCATGGTGGGATTGGCTGATCATTATAGACAGCAACGTCATTCAATGACAGACCCAATTCAGCCAGCTGCACCTGGATATGAAGGCCAAAAAGGGGAATGACAGATTGTCTATTCCGAAAGAGCAAAGCTCATTGAAGAAGGAAGACACAACCCCTGGTGGGGTGCTGTAGTAAGGATCGAAGTTTAGAAGCATATTGCAAAGAAAGTTGCAAATGCCGGAGGTGAAGAGGAGGTTCTTAGGACTTGGTATACAGATCCTGGATTGGCAAAGTGTAGAAGGCCCCCGTGCAGAACCTAGGCTCCAACATCTTCAAGGCAGAGGCCCTGGCAGAACCATAAACCAGAGAACCATAGTCCAGCTTGGAACATTGAACGATAGATCTTCAACACAGTACATTGATCGACTCCACAAGAGAGGACACGGAGGATGTTCAGTGCCCTTGTACACTTGACATGGGAAATGAAAGTGAGCTTATGGTCAAAGATAAGCCCCAGGAACTTTGCCTCAGGAACCAAAGGAAGAAAAACATAACTGAGAGCACAGAGTTGGGGTGTAAACCCCATTAATAGCAAAAGTGCATGCAAACTGTTTTGGAGAAAGAAAAGGTCAAACAATTTGCTGTGGTCCACTTTAACAAGTGATTGAGGGCAGTCCGAAACTGCCACTCAATAAACCTCATGTTCGATGACCAACAAAAGATGTGGAAGTCGTCAACATAGAGCCCATTTGCAACAGTAGGAGGAAGTTGTTTAGTGATAGCATTGATCTTGATCACTAAAGACGATGACAACCAAGACACAGCCCTGAGGGACTCCAAGTTCTTGTATGAAAGGGTCAAACCCACATGGACTTGGAATCACCTGTCAAGTAAACAGTTATGAATAAACAAGGTAGAACAATAGCTATGCACCACATATCAGGAAAAACATTCTCCTGCCAGATCCAGTTAAAAACAACCAGAAGAAAAGCAAGAGAGGCAGGAGAGAGATGACGCAACATCTCATGGAATGTCATCATACCCGACTTGTATAATGCCAGACTGATAAAGAGCAAGCTCAATTTCCACCATTGTAAAAGGGCAATTATAGTCATTGAGACAATTAGCCCGAAATGAAAGAGGCAATCGCTGTGCCTGAGACTTGATGGCCATGAAGGCAGGGGAAGAAATAGAAGTGCTGGACAGATAAGCAAAGCTCTCCCTGAGAGTATCGGTAATGCTCTGTACATCAGCAACTTCCTGGCTATTGAAGAGCAAGATGGAAAGGAGATAGGAAGCATAATTCCTACTAACCTTCCAAATCTTGTCCCAGATGATTTTGGAACTCGTGGTAGAAGAGATGCTGGAGGTGAACTTAATCTAAGATTCCTTCTGACTTTGACATCTGACCTGCCAAGCATGGGCACAGGTCTGCTGGAAAGCAATGCAGTTGGAAAGAGTGGGATACCTGTGAAAGGCATCCCAGGCCCATTTCTGAGCCTTCCATGTAATCTGGCAGGCAGGAGACCACCATGGAAAACGTGTTAAAGTTTTGGGGATAAAACTAACAACTGCTTGAATTATACTATCAGTTACAGCTTCCATGCAGTCATTAATAAATGGAAGACTAATGACAGCAAGATCTAGTTTTGAGAGAGAGGTGAAAGAGAGCCAATCAGTCTGCTCCAACTTCCACCATGGCACTTGGGTCGGGTGGCATCGACCATAGCCAACCTCCCTCAAAACGATGGGAAAATTATCACTGCCCCGTGGGTCACTGTCAACCCTCCAAGAAAGATCCCTCTCATCACTAACAGCACCACCCCAGAGGGGATTGTGTCCATTAAAGTCTCCCACGATGAAAAAGGAGACAGCAACCATGCTACGAGAGCATCAAGGTCTCATTGATTGTAAGTTTCTCCAGGAGACAGGTAGAAAGCAGTGCTACACCTTCACGGACTCAACCATTACACAACCTGTCATTCCGGTATAAGGAAAACTGCCAAAAAATGACAGTAAGTCTCATGAATGTTTCTTGTAAGGAGACACACATGGGATGATAGGAATCAATCAAGGCCTTAATGTCATCCAAATTAGAACAGAAACCTCGACAGTTCCATTGTATCAAAGTAGCCATTTTTATTTAGGTGAATGAGAACTGGGCAGAGAACCCTTCTTTGTGCGACCACACCATTTTTAATTAGTAGAAGGAGGTCTATCGACCCCCATGGAACTTGCCCTGGGATGATTGGGCAGATCTCTGTCAGGTGATCAAGACTCCAGTGACTGAGGGTGTGTCCGAATAATAGTCCTGCACCTCGGGGACAAAGGGGATGGGCCCGAGTAGTAGCTGGATGCAATATTAAGGACAGAAACAGAGGACAAAAGACTCTTCACATGTTGAAAGAAACACTCTGATGGATACACAGAAATATCCAAGATGGAACAGGGGACAACGGTTTCCAAGCCTTGGGGTAAGAAATGTTGTTTACAGTACGTAAACCTTGCATCTCTTTTTCTTCCACCCACTTAGGGCAAGATAGAAAGAGGGGTGGAAACCACCACAATTGATGCAGTAAAGGTCCAGTTGACACTTGTAGTTGTCATGGTCATTGCCACCACAACGAGCACACATCGAAGAACCATGATAAATAACTTAGAATGTCCCAAACCACTGACACTGCAAACACCTGAGGGGTTTAGAAATTTAAGGCCATACCTTACAGTTAAGATAACCTGACTTTACAAAGGCAAGTAGACATGGCAATGTAAACATCAAATTAGAACACTGGTCAACACATAATTCTGACCTTGCAAGTGGAGATACAGTGCACAGCAGAAACTCTTTGGTTGGGGAAACCAGCAAGGATCTCCACTCAGGGATGTTCTTCAAATCCCTCTCAACAATAACTCCTCGTGAGGAGTTCAAAGTAGCATGGGTAGTAACCTCAATAGGTATGTCCCCAATGGCCTTTGACTTCAGGAGGAGTTTGCTATGTGTTGGTATAGATGTTTCAACCAAGATGTCTCCAGAATGCAACTTCCTGACTGACTTTGTAGAGCCAGCAAGCCCCTCCAAATCCTTCTGAAAGTGATTTGCCGATGCCTTCTGTCGGGTGAGTTTAAAAGAGTTCACCAACTCTGAGATCCTCCACTTGCAAGCAACCCTTGTCTTCTGAAGTCGTAGCTCTTCTGCCTTCTCCACCAATTTCCCACTAGCCTTTTTATTCTTACCAAGAAATAAATATTTTTCAAAATTCAGATCCTATTATTATTTGTCATGCAATCACCTGTTGTTTGTACACACAGACAAGCTCACGCATAACTTCGTGTGACCCTGTTGCCTGCTGACTCGGATACATTAATTAACCTAGACTGTCAATGTTACACGTGCAGTAATGACAGTTTCAAACAATACTGTTGTATATAGACATCAAATATCTGTAACTGAGAAACAACTTCAATGTTGTAATGCTCAAATTACAAAATTATATATTAATTATTAACATGTTCAGACAAGTAAGAAAAGTTTTACCAAATTTGATCATGACCTATACTGCATTTGATGAATGACTTTCAGTATGACACAAAGGCACAAGAGTGGCCATGTTGACCAGAGGTCATCATAGTTCAGTGGCATGCTGCAAACACATCTCACTGACTTAGGGTTAATTGAATTGGACACAGTAACTTTGAAATTCACAACTAGCTTGGAATTAACTGAATTGGATGTAGTAACTTCCAAAATCACAACTAGCTTTGGGTTAACTGGATTGGACAGAGTAACTTCCAAGTCACAGCTG